TTAGGGAATACTTATCGTTAGGGCTCCCTTAAAATGGTTGGTGGAAACCAAGGTTAATCACTTAGAATATAGACCGTCAGATAGTGACAGATTTAGGTGTCCCATTTTCGCATACAAGCCTCGAAGAGAGTTGAAAAATACTTCGATGTTGAGTAGAATGGAGTGAAATTCACGAGTCGCCCCTGGAGATAAAATATGGAAAATTCGATTTTCCTTAATCGAAATAAAAGGCGTCAGTTGCTCATATTTCCATGCAAGCCGTGTTCACTAAATGATTAATTATTAAAAAACTAGCTTCGGAAAACCAAAGGCTTGAGTGCTGCAGGTGGCTGAAGGGTTGAAAAAAGGGCTTTATCTTGTAAGAAAAAATCGAAAGTTGGACCGATCTTTGCACACAAGCCTACTGGAAGTATGAAAACGTCCACCGTCACTGTCACTACCTCGAAAAACATATTGGCTTGAGTAGTGGGAATGGATAAGTACATTTTAAGGTCGGAAAATTTGACCGATTTTTTTTTTGTTCGCGTAATATGGGTCAAATTTTCCGAATTTAAAATGTACTTATCCATTCCCGCCACTCAAGCCAATATGTTTTTCGGGGATTGACGATGACCGAATTTTCCATATTTTATCCCCAGGGGCGACTCGTGAATTTTACTTCATTCTACTCAACATCGAAGTACTTTTCAACCCTCTTCGAGGCTTGTATGCGAAAATGGGGCACCTAAATCTGTCACTATCTGACGGTCTAATACAGTGGTTCCCAAACTTTTCTCTTTTGCGCCCCCTTTCTGAAATCAAGGAGTGGTCGCGCCCCCCTTCCTTCCCCCATTATACAAAAACATAATTTTTTTTACTTACTGTAACTCCTCTGAACTGGACTTTGGAAGAGGAATAATGGACATGACAGTGGGCAGCGAGCGTGCGCTGTAGCAATAGGGAATTTTCATGAGAAATAAATATGATTCATTTTATTTTTATGGTGCAAATTTGTCTGTAAAATATTGAATATGAGCAGTTTTGCATTTAATTTATCGATATTATTCTCATACGGCAATTATTAGTTTTAAATTAAAAAGTTTCCCGCGGAAAAGCTATGTTCAAGATGGTCGCTTTCGGTGACGTCAACTGTTCATAAACCAAGGTTAAGGTTAGTTTACACGGACCGTGAATAACGAACGTGGTCCACGCTTTCATGATTCACTCTGGGGTCCTGAAGAGCGGCTTTCGGGTGCAGATTGCGAAGCTCCTAAAACACTTCGTGAACCTGTCATACTCCATGTGTTTTGCACTCGAATGCTTGAAACCGAACGGGTAAAACTGTAGCCGGCGTACTTCGGAGTAACTCAAGAGCGCTCAAAGGGTGGCACCCGAAAGCAGCTCAGAACGATTGGTCCACGATCAGCTCACGTCACGCCACGAGATTGTAAGACGGCGTTTCTGTAAATCCTGTATCAATCATGACATACTAATTAAAACACAAAATGTCACAATACGCCAAATACAGAAACACCACGTAAAAATCACATTCAACGCAGTCGAAGGTATCCCTGCGTTTTTATTCTCATCAAATTTTACCGATGGATCCACCATTTTATGTCGGTCATTGTCATTTTCCATTCACTAAACAAAGATAGCTAACTCATCGGTGAATCCACCGATGAGAATAAAAACGCACATTTTACGAGCGATTCTTTCTGATAGTTTGCAAAGTGTCAGAGACTCTTGTGAGAACAGACCTTAACATTGTATTTACAAACAGTTGACGTCACAAGTACTGACATCTTGAAGGTAATCGATTTCGCGCCAACGGAAATAATTTGAAAGGACCCCGCACACCTCTTATGGGTTTTTGGTTTTCTGTCAAACTCAATGAAATTTTGATATGTGTTAGACCTTGACCCCCCGGTAAAAAGTTCTCATGGGCCCGAACCAATCCTATGATTAGTTTTTGAAATACAGGTTCTTTAATGTCCAAGAAATGTACACATTTTATATCTATGTATTCACATCTACCTGTCACCTAATAATAGGTCTGTTTCTGCAAAAATCACAAACCCGTTAGAGCGAATTTGATTGGTCGAAAACAGTCAGAAACAGTCGGAAAACTAGTTTCAACCAATGAAATTCACTCTGACAGACCCATTAATAGGTTCAAGATAGATGTGAATGCATATAAAATGTGTACATTTCTTGGACATTAAACCACCTGTATTTCGGAAACTAATCATAGTACCTATCGGATTGGGCCTATGAGAACTTTTTATCAGTAAGTCAAAATATACCACATCAAAATTTCATTGAGTTTGACAGAAAACCAAAAACCCATAAGAGGCGTGCGGGGTCCTTTTATAATTTTTGAAAATTTTAATGAGGACATAATACAAAAGAAAACATATGTAGGTATTTTATATTTAAAAACATAAGCAATAAGAAAAAAAATAATTTGAAAAATATGATTGTTCCCTATTACTGTATTCCTTTTATACATCGAGTTACACAGAACGAGTCGCTTTAGAGCTCCTCGGAGTCACTCCAAAACACACAATTCAGAATAATTCAGATATTAGAGAGTTCTCGTGCTGTCCAAATTTCAAATACCGTAACGTTATTTGACAAGTATGACAGTTCTTACGGCATAAGCGTTAGCGGAGCCGCCCGCTACCTAACGGGAGTTAGCGAATGCCTTACCGTAACGCTATGCTATGTCAAAATTAGTTTACGCTCCATTTACGTCTGTAAGAACAGCAACTTCTAATAATTCCTCGATAAAAAACACCAAGGAAAAATTATTGAAACTCAGGAATCTTCAGGATAAATAAAAGTTGGCAAACAAGCAAAAAAAAGTTGGGTTAGATCACTCAATCCAGGTGTCAAAATGTAAACAGAATAAGGAATTAGAGGATTTTTGTGACTTCGTGTCTGAGAACTATAAAATACCGAATTGTTAGCGGTACCGTATTAGCATAGCGTCTGAGGCACGGGAACTTTCTATTATCATTATACTTTAATATTAACATTACCTAAAAAAGCTTATTGCACCCCCGGAAATTTGGTGCATCAGGAGAAAGGGGGATGCACTATGAGCGACTCGAGTGCTTTCTCGCACTTTTGAAAGTAACGTTCACGCTTTTGACATTAAGCAGCTCCGAGTAACTCAACGGGTAAAAGGAATACAGTAACAGATCGCATGGCATAGCTGCTTTGGCTTAATTATGCGCTGTTGTAGAATTCTAGACATCTTTTTTTAAATTTTACCTGATTTTTTATTTTAAAGCTTAAAATTTGTATTAATTGTTTAGAAGACTCGCGCCCCCCCTCAATGTTGCTTTACGCCCCCCCAGGGGGGCGCGCCCCCCAGTTTGGGAACCGCTGGTCTAATAGTACCTATATTGTTTTATTAGGAGTAAAAGTGATACTTTTTGTGGCAAGACTAAATGTTTGACGGCCGAACGTAGTGAGGTAGACAATTTTAGACGAGCCACAAAAAGTGCTTTTCTTCTAATAAAACATGCTATTTTTTCCGCAAAAGGTGTTCAAAGCGATGAAATCTAGGAAAATTCTGTGACGTCACTTTTTTGTCCGGCCGTGAGCGTACAAAAAAGTACTTTTTCGTACGCTCAGGGAACACGCGGATAAAAAAGTAACCAAAAAAAAATGACGTCTGTGAAGTCAAAATAACCGTTTTTGGACGTGGCACCCGGAAAAATCCGGCAGCTCCTGCGTTGGGCATTCACCTTCTCAAATTAGTAATTGGAACCAATATAACAATCCACGCGCCGCCACTGCCCGTATGCACCTCCCTGAAACTAATCCTGGCGGCGCCCATGCCTATTTCAATTCTTTGTTATACTTTTGCTTATCATAATTAGGGACTTTTTAGCTGCTCCTAAGTAGTCGAAAAAAAGATTGAATCGGTTAATTATCAACTGAGTTAGATGTTTTTCTCATTATTAGGTAAGGCATTTTCCGGCATCCCTCGCTTTACGTTTATTTGGTGGTGTGTCAGAGGATGAAATGTCTCTGAATAGGAATCAGCTGCTATTTAAGTGTTCCTAAATAGGCTAAGAAAAAATTGCCGACTAAAAAAATACCTATTAGTAATAATTAGTTTGGTTATTAGTTTACACTGTACTTCGCACGCCGTTTGCTTTTTTCATACTGAAAAATAATTCGTTCCTTGCCCTGCGATTTCCAAATGACAAATGTGGACTTAATTCCGGCTTTTTTCGAGTATATCCAAACAAAGCTCCGCCCCAGATTTCCTATTGGTCGCGCTGGTTTCTGTTGGTCTGCTGCGTCTATAAAAGTCGCCGATGCAAATTTTCAGTCTCAGTTAGCTTTTGTTCGTTCGCGGACGCGTTTCTTGTCGCTCGGTCTGTTGTTGGGTTTTAATTTTGTTGCTACGGTGGACGGTGGCACTTCGCGCGCAGTTATGTCGTTATAGTTAAGTTGGCATATTGACTATTGGGTTTTCGCCAAGACTTCCACGTCTTCTTAACTGGACCCAGGCATAGCTGCTCGATTACCCTTTATTAACAAATAGCCGTTTTCACGGCTAAAAAAGAAAAATTCGTTTCCAACAAGGGTTTCTCGAGTACGCTGCGCTGCTAGAAGAGAATGTACCTATACATACGACGTTCATCCAGCATCGAGCCCTAGGAGAAGAAACGAATAATGTTCCCAATAGTCAATATAAAAGTCAAATTCGCGTTTCGCGTCTTCGTTCTGCTTTGTGATACACTTTGAAATTATGTCGGTAGTTAAATGAGGTAAGCCAAGTATTTCTTCTTTTCCAATGTTTTGGTACCTAGTAATTGAAAGTTACGTTTTTCGCTGGCTCCTGAAATGCCAGCTCCCAAATTTCACTTTTTGGATTAGGAAATGTTGTATATTCATGTTTTTAATTAATTTACACTGTATTTCGCACGCCGTTTACTTATTTTTCAGATTGAAAAATAATTCGTTGTGGGTTGTTACCAAGCGATTTCCAAATGACAAATGTCGAATTAATTCGGACTCTTTTCGAGTATATCCAAACAAAGCTCCGCCCCAAACTTCCTATTGGTCGCGCTGGTTTCTGTAGGTCCCCCTGAGTTTATAAAAGTCGCCGTTGCAAATTTTCAGTCTTCAGTTAGCTTGGGTTCGCGGACGCATTTGTTCTCGCTCGGTCTGTTGTTGGTTTTAATTTTGTTGCTACGGTAGACAGTGGCACTTCGCGCGCAGTACGTCGTTATAGTTGAGATGGCATATTAAGTATTGAAAAATATTTTCTCAATAGTCAATATAATTCGCGTCTTCGTTCTGCTTTGTGATTTTGAAACCCTCTGCCCGTTTTTTTAATGTTTTGGTAATGATTGAAAGTAGGTAGGTAGTTTGATTAAAATGTGCGAAAAATTTTTGATGCTTTAATCGAAGAGTGATTGTTTTTTCTTGAGTTTTTTTCCGACTTTTCCAAATTTTTTTTCCTACTTTTTTCCAAAGTTTTTTTCTAACTTTTTTCCAAATTCCCCCCCCCCCCCCCCCCTGTATATTTTTCTCCAATTTTTTTTCCTAACTTTGTTTCTCCGACTTTTTTCCCCGAGTTTTATTCTCTCGACTTTTGTTCTCTCGACCTTTTCTCTCTCGACTTTCTCTCTCTCGACTTTTTCTCTCTCGACTTTTTCTGTCTCGACTTTTCCTCTCTCGACTATTTCTCTCTCGACTTTTATTCTCTCGACTCTCGACCTTTGTTTTCTCGACTCTCGACTTTTATTCCCTCGACTTTTGTTCTCTCGACTCCCGACTTTTGTTCTCTCGACTTTTGTTCTTTCGATTTTTGTTTTCTCGACTTTTGTTCTCTCGACCTTTTCTCTCTCGACTTTTTCATTCTCGTCTTTTTCTCTTTTAACTTGTTCTCTCGATTTTTTTTCTCTCGATTTTTTTCTCTCGACTTTTTCTGTCTCGACTTTTTCTCTTTTAACTTGTTCGCTCGATTTTTTTCTCTCGACTTTTTTTCTCTCGACTTTTGTTTTCTCGCCTTTTATTCTCTCAACTTTTATTCTTTCGACTTTTGTTCTCTCGACTTTTGTTCTCGACTTTTTCTCTCTCGACTCTCGACTTTTGTTCTCTCGACCTTTGTTCTTTCGACTTTTTTCTCTCGACTTTTGTTCTTTCGACTTTTGTTCTTTCGACTTTTGTTCTCTCGACTTTCGTTCTCTCGACTTTTGTTCTCTCGACTTTTGTTCTCTCGACTTTTGTTCACTCGACTTTTGTTCTTTCGACTTTTGTTCTTTCGACTTCTGTTCTCTCGACTTTTTCTCTCTTGACTTTTTCTCTCTTGACTTTCTATTCTCTCGACTTTTGTTTTCTCGACTCTCGACTTCTGTTCCCTCGACTTTTGTTCTCTCGACTTTTGTTTTCTCGACTCCCGCCTTTTATTCTCTCGACTTTTGTTCTTTCGACTTTCTCTGTCTCGACTTTTGTTCTCTCGACTTTTCTGTCTCGACTTTTTCTCTTTTAACTTGTTCTCTCGATTTTTTTTCTCTCGACTTTTTTCTCTCGACTTTTGTTCTCTCAACTCTCGACTTTTTCTCTCTCGACTTTTTCTCTCTCGATTTTTCCTCTCTCGACTTTTTCTCTCTCGATTTTTTCTCTTGACTTTTTCTCTCGACTTTTGTTCTCTCGACTCTCGTTTTTTGTTCTCTCAACTCTCGACTTTTGTTCTCTGACTTTTTCTCTCTCGACATTTTCTCTCTCGACTTTTTCTCTCTCGACTTTTTCTCTCTCGACTTTTCTCCTCGACTTTTATTCTCTCGACTCTCGACTTTTATTCTCTCGACTCTCGACCTTTGTTTTCTCGACTCTCGACTTTTATTCCCTCGACTTTTGTTCTCTCGACTTTTGTTTTCTCGACTCCCGACTTTTGTTCTCTCGACTTTTGTTCTTTCGATTTTTGTTTTCTCGACTTTTGTTCTCTCGACCTTTTCTCTCTCGACTTTTTCTGTCTCGTCTTTTTCTCTTTTAACTTGTTCTCTCGATTTTTTTTCTCTCGATTTTTTTCTCTCGACTTTTTCTGTCTCGACTTTTTCTCTTTTAACTTGTTCGCTCGATTTTTTTCTCTCGACTTTTTTTCTCTCGACTTTTGTTTTCTCGCCTATTATTCTTTCGACTTTTGTTCTCTCGACTTTTGTTCTCGACTTTTTCTCTCTCGACTCTCGACTTTTGTTCTCTCGATCTTTGTTCTTTCGACTTTTTTCTCTCGACTTTTGTTCTTTCGACTTTTGTTCTTTCGACTTTTGTTCTCTCGACTTTTGTTCTCTCGACTTTTGTTCTCTCGACTTTTGTTCTCTCGACTTTTGTTCTTTCGACTTTTGTTCTTTCGACTTCTGTTCTCTCGACTTTTTCTCTCTTGACTTTTTCTCTCTTGACTTTCTATTCTCTCTTGACTTTCTATTCTCTCTTGACTTTTGTTTTCTCGACTCTCGACTTCTGTTCCCTCGACTTTTGTTCTCTCGACTTTTGTTTTCTCGACTCCCGCCTTTTATTCTCTCGACTTTTGTTCTTTCGACTTTTTCTGTCTCGACTTTTGTTCTCTCGACTTTTTCTGTCTCGACTTTTTCTCTTTTAACTTGTTCTCTCGATTTTTTTTCTCGACTTTTTTCTCTCGACTTTTGTTCTCTCAACTCTCGACTTTTTCTCTCTCGACTTTTCCTCTCTCGACTTTTTCTCTCTCGACTTTTTCTCTCTCGATTTTTTCTCTTGACTTTTTCTCTCGACTTTTGTTCTCTCGACTTTTGTTCTCTCGACTCTCGACTTTTGTTCTCTCAACTCTCGACTTTTGTTCTCTGACTTTTTCTCTCTCGACATTTTCTCTCTCGGCTTTTTCTCTCTCGACTTTTTCTCTCTCGACTTTTCTCTCTCGACTTTTATTCTCTCGACTCTCGACCTTTGTTTTCTCGACTCTCGACTTTTATTCCCTCGACTTTTGTTCTCTCGACTTTTGTTTTCTCGACTCCCGACTTTTGTTCTCTCGACTTTTGTTCTTTCGATTTTTGTTTTCTCGACTTTTGTTCTCTCGACCTTTTCTCTCTCGACTTTTTCTGTCTCGTCTTTTTCTCTTTTAACTTGTTCTCTCGATTTTTTTTTCTCGATTTTTTTCTCTCGACTTTTTCTGTCTCGACTTTTTCTCTTTTAACTTTTTCGCTCGATTTTTTTCTCTCGACTTTTTTTTCTCTCGACTTTTGTTTTCTCGCCTTTTATTCTCTCAACTTTTATTCTTTCGACTTTTGTTCTCTCGACTTTTGTTCTCGACTTTTTCTCTCTCGACTCTCGACTTTTGTTCTCTCGACCTTTGTTCTTTCGACTTTTTTCTCTCGACTTTCGTTCTTTCGACTTTTGTTCTTTCGACTTTTGTTCTCTCGACTTTCGTTCTCTCGACTTTTGTTCTCTCGACTTTTGTTCTTTCGACTTTTGTTCTTTCGACTTTTGTTCTTTCGACTTCTGTTCGCTCGACTTTTTCTCTCTTGACTTTTTCTCTCTTGACTTTCTATTCTCTCGACTTTTGTTTTCTCGACTCTCGACTTCTGTTCCCTCGACTTTTGTTCTCTCGACTTTTGTTTTCTCGACTCCCGCCTTTTATTCTCTCGACTTTTGTTCTTTCGACTTTTTCTGTCTCGACTTTTGTTCTCTCGACTTTTTCTGTCTCGACTTTTTCTCTTTTAACTTGTTGTCTCGATTTTTTTTCTCGACTTTTATTCTTTCGACTTTTGTTCTCTCGACTTTTGTTCTCTCGACTTTTGTTCTCTCGACTTTTGTTCTTTCGACTTTTGTTCTTTCGACTTCTGTTCTCTCGACTTTTTCTCTCTTGACTTTTTCTCTCTTGACTTTCTATTCTCTCTTGACTTTCTATTCTCTCGACTTTTGTTTTCTCGACTCTCGACTTCTGTTCCCTCGACTTTTGTTCTCTCGACTTTTGTTTTCTCGACTCCCGCCTTTTATTCTCTCGACTTTTGTTCTTTCGACTTTTTCTGTCTCGACTTTTGTTCTCTCGACTTTTTCTGTCTCGACTTTTTCTCTTTTAACTTGTTCTCTCGATTTTTTTTCTCGACTTTTTTCTCTCGACTTTTGTTCTCTCAACTCTCGACTTTTTCTCTCTCGACTTTTCCTCTCTCGACTTTTTCTCTCTCGACTTTTTCTCTCTCGATTTTTTCTCTTGACTTTTTCTCTCGACTTTTGTTCTCTCGACTTTTGTTCTCTCGACTCTCGACTTTTGTTCTCTCAACTCTCGACTTTTGTTCTCTGACTTTTTCTCTCTCGACATTTTCTCTCTCGGCTTTTTCTCTCTCGACTTTTTCTCTCTCGACTTTTCTCTCTCGACTTTTATTCTCTCGACTCTCGACCTTTGTTTTCTCGACTCTCGACTTTTATTCCCTCGACTTTTGTTCTCTCGACTTTTGTTTTCTCGACTTCCGACTTTTGTTCTCTCGACTTTTGTTCTTTCGATTTTTGTTTTCTCGACTTTTGTTCTCTCGACCTTTTCTCTCTCGACTTTTTCTGTCTCGTCTTTTTCTCTTTTAACTTGTTCTCTCGATTTTTTTTTTCTCGATTTTTTTCTCTCGACTTTTTCTGTCTCGACTTTTTCTCTTTTAACTTTTTCGCTCGATTTTTTTCTCTCGACTTTTTTTTCTCTCGACTTTTGTTTTCTCGCCTTTTATTCTCTCAACTTTTATTCTTTCGACTTTTGTTCTCTCGACTTTTGTTCTCGACTTTTTCTCTCTCGACTCTCGACTTTTGTTCTCTCGACCTTTGTTCTTTCGACTTTTTTCTCTCGACTTTTGTTCTTTCGACTTTTGTTCTTTCGACTTTTGTTCTCTCGACTTTCGTTCTCTCGACTTTTGTTCTCTCGACTTTTGTTCTCTCGACTTTTGTTCTTTCGACTTTTGTTCTTTCGACTTCTGTTCTCTCGACTTTTTCTCTCTTGACTTTTTCTCTCTTGACTTTCTATTCTCTCGACTTTTGTTTTCTCGACTCTCGACTTCTGTTCCCTCGACTTTTGTTCTCTCGACTTTTGTTTTCTCGACTCCCGCCTTTTATTCTCTCGACTTTTGCTCTTTCGACTTTTTCTGTCTCGACTTTTGTTCTCTCGACTTTTTCTGTCTCGACTTTTTCTCTTTTAACTTGTCTCGATTTTTTTTCTCGACTTTTATTCTTTCGACTTTTGTTCTCTCGACTTTTGTTCTCGACTTTTTCTCTCTCGACTCTCGACTTTTGTTCTCTCGACCTTTGTTCTTTCGACTTTTTTCTCTCGACTTTTGTTCTTTCGACTTTTGTTCTTTCGACTTTTGTTCTTTCGACTTTTGTTCTCTCGACTTTTGTTCTCGACTTTTGTTCTCTCGACTTTTGTTCACTCGACTTTTGTTCTTTCGACTTTTGTTCTTTCGACTTCTGTTCTCTCGACTTTTTCTCTCTTGACTTTTTCTCTCTTGACTTTCTATTCTCTCGACTTTTGTTTTCTCGACTCTCGACTTCTGTTCCCTCGACTTTTGTTCTCTCGACTTTTGTTTTCTCGACTCCCGCCTTTTATTCTCTCGACTTTTGTTCTTTCGACTTTTTCTGTCTCGACTTTTGTTCTCTCGACTTTTCTGTCTCGACTTTTTCTCTTTTAACTTGTTCTCTCGATTTTTTTTCTCTCGACTTTTTTCTCTCGACTTTTGTTCTCTCAACTTTCGACTTTTTCTCTCTCGACTTTTTCTCTCTCGATTTTTCCTCTCTCGACTTTTTCTCTCTCGATTTTTTCTCTTGACTTTTTCTCTCGACTTTTGTTCTCTCGACTCTCGTTTTTTGTTCTCTCAACTCTCGACTTTTGTTCTCTGACTTTTTCTCTCGACATTTTCTCTCTCGACTTTTTCTCTCTCGACTTTTTCTCTCTCGACTTTTCTCCTCGACTTTTATTCTCTCGACTCTCGACTTTTATTCTCTCGACTCTCGACCTTTGTTTTCTCGACTCTCGACTTTTATTCCCTCGACTTTTGTTCTCTCGACTTTTGTTTTCTCGACTCCCGACTTTTGTTCTCTCGACTTTTGTTCTTTCGATTTTTGTTTTCTCGACTTTTGTTCTCTCGACCTTTTCTCTCTCGACTTTTTCTGTCTCGTCTTTTTCTCTTTTAACTTGTTCTCTCGATTTTTTTTCTCTCGATTTTTTTCTCTCGACTTTTTCTGTCTCGACTTTTTCTCTTTTAACTTGTTCGCTCGATTTTTTTCTCTGGACTTTTTTTCTCTCGACTTTTGTTTTCTCGCCTTTTATTCTTTCGACTTTTGTTCTCTCGACTTTTGTTCTCGACTTTTTCTCTCTCGACTCTCGACTTTTGTTCTCTCGATCTTTGTTCTTTCGACTTTTTTCTCTCGACTTTTGTTCTTTCGACTTTTGTTCTTTCGACTTTTGTTCTCTCGACTTTTGTTCTCTCGACTTTTGTTCTCTCGACTTTTGTTCTCTCGACTTTTGTTCTCTCGACTTTTGTTCTTTCGACTTTTGTTCTTTCGACTTCTGTTCTCTCGACTTTTTCTCTCTTGACTTTTTCTCTCTTGACTTTCTATTCTCTCGACTTTTGTTTTCTCGACTCTCGACTTCTGTTCCCTCGACTTTTGTTCTCTCGACTTTTGTTTTCTCGACTCCCGCCTTTTATTCTCTCGACTTTTGTTCTTTCGACTTTTTCTGTCTCGACTTTTGTTCTCTCGACTTTTGTTCTCTCGACTTTTTCTGTCTCGACTTTTTCTCTTTTAACTTGTTCTCTCGATTTTTTTTCTCGACTTTTTTCTCTCGACTTTTGTTCTCTCAACTCTCGACTTTTTCTCTCTCGACTTTTTCTCTCTCGACTTTTCCTCTCTCGACTTTTTCTCTCTCGACTTTTTCTCTCTCGATTTTTTCTCTTGACTTTTTCTCTCGACTTTTGTTCTCTCGACTTTTGTTCTCTCGACTCTCGACTTTTGTTCTCTCAACTCTCGACTTTTGTTCTCTGACTTTTTATCTCTTGACATTTTCTCTCTCGACATTTTCTCTCTCGACTTTTTCTCTCTCGACTTTTTCTCTCTCGACTTTTCTCTCTCGACTTTTATTCTCTCGACTCTCGACCTTTGTTTTCTCGACTCTCGACTTTTATTCCCTCGACTTTTGTTCTCTCGACTTTTGTTTTCTCGACTCCCGACTTTTGTTCTCTCGACTTTTGTTCTTTCGATTTTTGTTTTCTCGACTTTTGTTCTCTTGACCTTTTCTCTCTCGACTTTTTCTGTCTCGTCTTTTTCTCTTTTAACTTGTTCTCTCGATTTTTTTTCTCTCGATTTTTTTCTCTCGACTTTTTCTGTCTCGACTTTTTCTCTTTTAACTTGTTCGCTCGATTTTTTTCTCTCGACTTTTTTTTCTCTCGACTTTTGTTTTCTCGCCTTTTATTCTCTCAACTTTTATTCTTTCGACTTTTGTTCTCTCGACTTTTGTTCTCGACTTTTTCTCTCTCGACTCTCGACTTTTGTTCTCTCGACCTTTGTTCTTTCGACTTTTTTCTCTCGACTTTTGTACTTTCGACTTTTGTTCTTTCGACTTTTGTTCTCTCGACTTTTGTTCTCTCGACTTTTGTTCTCTCGACTTTTGTTCTCTCGACTTTTGTTCTCTCGACTTTTGTTTTCTCAACTCTCGACTTCTGTTCCCTCGACTTTTGTTCTCTCGACTTTTGTTTTCTCGACTCCCGACTTTTATTCTCTCGACTTTTGTTCTTTCGACTTTTTCTGTCTCGACTTTTGTTCTCTCGACTTTTTCTGTCTCGACTTTTTCTGTCTCGACTTTTTCTCTTTTAACTTGTTCTCTCGATTTTTTTTCTCTCGACTCTCGGCTTTTGTTCTCTCAACTCTCGACTTTTTCTCTCTCGACTTTTTCTCTCTCGACTTTTTCTCTCTCGACTTTTTCTCTCTCGACTTTTTCTCTCTCGACTTTTTCTCTCTCGACTTTTTCCCTCTCGATTTTTTCTCTTGACTTTTTCTCTCGACTTTTGTTCTCTCGACTCTCGACTTTTGTTCTCTCAACTCTCGACTTTTGTTCTCTGACTTTTTCTCTCTCGACATTTTCTCTCTCGACTTTTTCTCTCTCGACTTTTTCTTTCTCGACTTTTTCTCTCTCGACTTTTTCTTTCTCGACTTTTTCTTTCTCGACTTTTTCTCTCTCGACCTTTCTCTCTCGACTTTTATTCTCTCGACTCTCGACTTTTGTCCTCCCTGCAAAAACGCTTAAAATTACGTAATAAATTTAAAATTTTTAAATTTTATTTAAATTACATAGTATTTAAATTGAATTTTAATTTTTATAAATAAATAATACATTATACTAAATATATACTATATTAAAAATTTAAATAAAAATTAATTCTCGACTCTCGACTTTTGTTCCCTCGACTTTTGTTCTCTCGACTTTTGTTCTTTCGACTTTTGTTCTTTCGACTTCTGTTCTCTCGACTTTTTCTCTCTCGACTTTTATTCTCTCGATTTTTGTTTTCTCAACTTTTGTTCTGTCGACTTTTATTCTCTCGATTTTTGTTTTCTCGACTTTTGTTCTGTCGATTTTTGTTCTCTCGATTTTTGTTTTCTCGACTTTTGTTCTGTCGATTTTTGTTTTCTCTTAACTTGTTCTCTCATCTTTTTTTTCTCTCGACTGTTGTTATCTCGACTCTCGACTTTTGTTCTCTCGACCTCTGTTGTCTCGACTTTTTCTCTCTCGATTTTTTCTCTTGACTTCTTCTCTCTTGACTTTTTCTCTCTCGACTTTTGTTCTCTCGACTCCCGACTTTTATTCTCTCGACTTTTGTTTTCTCGACTCTCGAATTTTTTTTCTCTCAACTATTGTTCTCTCGACTTTTATTCTCTCGACTTTTTCTCTCTCGACTTTTTCTCTCTCGACTTTTGTTCTCTCGACTCTCGACTTTTTCTCTCGACTTATTCCCTCTCGACTTTTTCCCTCTCAACTTTTTCCCTCTCGACTTTTTCCCTCTCGACTTTTTCTGTCTCGACTTTTTCTCTTTTAACGTGTTCTCTCGATTTTTTTTTCTCGACTTTTTCTCTCTCGACTTTTGTTCTCTCGACTCTCGACTTTTTTTCTCTCGACTCTCGACTTTTGTTTTCTCGACTCCCGACTTTTGTTCTCTCGACTTTTGTTCTCTCGACTTTTGTTCTCTTGATTTTTGTTTTCTCAACTTTTGTTCTGTCAACTGGTGTTCTCTCGATTTTTGTTTTCTCGACTTTTGTTCTTTCGACTTTTTTTTTCTCGACTTTTGTTTTGTTGACTCCCGACTTTTGTTCTCTCGACCTCTGTTCTCTCGACTTTTTCTCTCGACTTTTATTCTCTCGATTTTTGTCCTCTTGACTTTTGTCTTTCGACCTTTTCTCTCTCGACTTTTTCTCTCTCGATTTTTGTTCTCTCGACTTTTTCTCTCTCGACTTTTTCTCTTTTAACTTGTTCTCTCTTAACTTGTTCTCGTTTTTTTTCTCTCGACTTTTATTCTCTCGACTTTTATTCTCTCGACTCTACTTTTGTTCTCTCGACCTCTGTTCGCTCGACTTTTTCTCTCTCGACTTTTATTCTCTCGACTCTCGACTTTGTTCCCTCGACTTTTGTTCTCTCGACTTTTGTTCTCTCGACTTTTGTTTTCCCGACTCCCGACTTTTGTTCTCTAGACTTTTGTTCTTTCGATTTTTGTTTTCTCGACTTTTGTTCTTTCGACTTTTGTTCTCTCGACCTTTTCTCTCTCGACTTTTGTTCTCTTGACTTTTTCTGTCTCGACTTTTTCTCTTTTAACTTGTTCCCTCGGTTTTTTTTCTCTCGATTTTTTTCTCTCGACTTTTGTTTTCTCGACTTTTATTCTTTCGACTTTTGTTCTTTCAACTTTTGTTCTTTCGACTTTTGTTCTCTCGAGTAACAGCTTTTGTTCTCTCGACTTTTTCTCTCTCGACTTTTTCTCTCTCGACTTTTTCTCTCTCGACTTTTTCTCTCTCGACTTTTTGTCTCTCGACTTTTTCTTTCTCGACTATTTCTCTCTCGACTTTTCTCTCTCGACTTTTATTCTCTCGACTCTCGACTTTTGTTTTATCGACTCTCGACTTTTGTTTTATCGACTCTCGACTTTTGTTTTCTCGACTCCCGACTTTTGTTCTCTCGACTTTTGTTCTCTCGACTTTTATTTTCTCGACTCCCGACTTTTGTTCTCTCGACTTTTTCTGTCTCGACTTTTGTTCTCTCGACTTTTTCTGTCTCGACTTTTTCTCTTTTAACTTGTTCTCTCGATTTTTTTTCTCTCGAATTTTGTTCTCTCGACTCTCGGCTTTTGTTCTCTCGACTCGGCTTTTGTTCTCTCAACTCTCGACTTTTGTTCTCTCGACTTCTGTTTTCTCGACTCCCGACTTTTGTTCTCTCGACTTTTGTTTTTTCGATTTTTGTTTTCTCGACTTTTGTTCTTTCGACCTTTTCTCTCTCGACTTTTGTTCTGTCGACTTTTTCTGTCTCGACTTTTTCTCTTTTAACTTGTTTTATCGATTTTTTTTCTCGACTTTTTTCTCTCGACTTTTTTCTCTCGACTTTTGTTTTCTCGACTTTTATTCTCTCGACTTTTTCTCTCGACTTTTTCTCTCTCGACTTTTTCTCCCTCGACTTTTTCTCTCTCGACTTTTCATCTCTTGACTTTTTCTCTCTCGACTTTTTCTCTCGACTTTTTCTGTCTCGACTTTTTCTCTCTCGACTTTTTCTCTCTCGACCTTTCTCTCTCGACTTTTATTCTCACGACTCTCGACTTTTGTTTTCTCGACTCTCGACTTTTGTTTTCTCGACTCTCGACTTTTGTTCTCTCGACTTTTGTACCCTCGACTTTTGTTCTCTCGACTTTTGTTCTTTCGACTTTTGTTCTCTCGACTGTTGTTCTCTCGACTTTTGTTCTTTCGACTTTTGTTCTCTCGACTTTTGTTTTCTCGACTTGCGACTTTTGTTCTATCGACTTTTGTTCTTTCGACTTTTGTTCTTTCGACTTCTGTTCTCTCGACTTTTTCTCTCTCGACTTTTTCTCTCTCGACTTTTATTCTCTTGATTTTTGTTTTCTCAACTTTTGTTCTGTCGACTTTTGTTCTCTCGATTTTTGTTTTCTCGACTTTTGTTCTGTCGATTTTTGTTCTCTCGATTTTTGTTTTCTCGACTTTTTCTCTTTTAACTTGTTCTCTCTTAACTTGTTCTCTGGGCTTTTTTTTCTCTCGACTGTTGTTATCTCGACTCTCGACTTTTGTTCTCTCGACCTCTGTTATCTCGACTTTTTCTCTCTCGATTTTTTCTCTTGACTTTTTCTCTCGACTTTTGCTCTCTCGACTTTTGTTCTCTCGACTCTCGACTTTTATTCTCTCGACTTTTGTTTTCTCGACTCTCGACTTTTTTTTCTTTCAACTTTTGTTCTCTCGACTTTTATTCTCTCGACTTTTTCTCTCTCGACTTTTTCTCTCTCGACTTTTGTTCTCTCGACTTTTGTTCTCTCGACTCTCGACCTTTTCTCTCGACTTTTTTCCTCTCGACTTTTTCCCTCGACTTTTATTCTCTCGATTTTTGTCCTCTCGACTTTTTTCTTTCGACTTTTCCTCTCTCGACTTTTTCTCTCTCGACTTTTTCTCTCTCGATTTTTGTTCTCTCGACTTTTTCTCTCTCGACTTTTTCTCTCTCGAATTTTTCTCTTTTAACGTGTTCTCTCTTAACTTGTTCTCTCGTTTTTTTTTCTCTCGACTTTTATTCTCCCGACTTTTATTCTCTCGACTCTACTTTTGTTCTCTCGACCTCTGTTCGCTCGACTTTTTCTCTCTCGACTCTTTCTCTCTCGACTTTTTCTCTCAATTTTTTCTCTCTCGACTTTTATTCTCTCGACTTTTGTCCCCTCGACTTTTGTTCTCTCGACTTTTGTTCTCTCGACTTTTGCTCTCTCGACTTTTGTTTTCTCGACTACCGACTTTTGTTCTCTCGACTTTTGTTCTTTCGATTTTTGTTTTCTCGACTTTTGTTTTCTCGACTTTTGTTCTTTCGACTTTTGTTCTCTCGACTTTTTCTGTCTCGACTTTTTCTCTTTTAACTTGTTCTCTCGATTTTTTTTCTTTCGACTTTTTTCTCTCGACTTTTGTTTTCTCGACTTTTGTTCTCTCGACTTTTATTCTTTCGACTTTTGTTCTTTCAACTTTTGTTCTTTCGACTTTTGTTCTCTCGACTCTCAGCTTTTGTTCTCTCGACTTTTTCTCTCTCGACTTTTCTCTCTCGACTTTTATTCTCTCGACTTTTGTTTTCTCGACTCTCGACTTTTGTTCCCTCGACTTTCGTGCTCTCGACTTTCGTGCTCTCGACTTTTGTTCTTTCGACTTTTGTTTTCTCGACTTTTGTTCTTTCGACTTTTGTTCTCTCGACTTTTTCTGTCTCGACTTTTTCTCTTTTAACTTGTTCTCTCGACTTTTGTTCTTTCGACTTCTGTTCTCTCGACTTCTTTTCTCTCGACTATTTCTCTCTCTAATTTTCTCTCTCGACTTTTATTCGCTCGACTCTCGACTTTTGTTTTCTCGACTCTCGACTTTTGTTTTCTCGACTCTCGATTTTTGTTTTCTCGACTCTCGAATTTTGTTCTTTCGACTTTTTCTGTCTCGACTTTTGTTCTCTCGACTTTTTCTGTCTCGACTTTTTCTCTTTTATCTTGTTCTCTCGATTATTTTTCTCTCGACTTTTTTCTCTCGACTTTTGTTCTCTCGACTCTCGACTTTTGTTCTCTCGACTCTCGGCTTTTGTTCTCTCAACTCTCGACTTTTGTTCTCTCGACTTTTTCTCTCGACTTTTTCTCTCTCGACTTTTCATCTCTTGACTTTTTCTCTGTCGATTTTTTCTCTTGACTTTCTCTCTCGACTTTTGTTCTCTCGACTTTTGTTCTCTCGACTCTCGAGTTTTGTTCTCTCAACTCTCGACTTTTGTTCTCTCAACTCTCGACTTTTGTTCTCTCGACTTTTGTTTTCTCGACTCCCGACTTTTGTTCTCTCGACTTTTGTTTTTTCGATTTTTGTTTTCTCGACTTTTGTTTTTTCGACTCTTGTTCTTTCGACCTTTTCTCTCTCGACTTTTGTTCTGTCGACTTTTTTTCTGTCGACTTTTTCTGTCTCGACTTTTTCTCTTTTAACTTGTTCTCTCGATTTTTTTTCTCGACTTTTTTCTCTTGACTTTTATTCTC